CATCCTTTTAATGTTACACCACTTTCAACAACAAGGCACAACCCATTTGATCCTTCATATGATAGTTCCTATGAGAATATGGGGTTACCACCCATTCCGGGTTCTGCTCCATCAATTTTGTTGCCAAGAAGAAACCCTTTTCATCTTCCTTATGAGCCAAATGAAGAAAAACCTGATCTCAAGGGAGACCATTTTGAACAAGGTTTTATGACATTTCACCCCAAGGACACGTTCTTCAGCAGGCATGAAAGCTTCAGTTTGGGACCATCAAGCTTCGGGGATGCCAAGAACGAGAGGCAAGATTTTAAGTGGAGACCTGTTTTTGTACCGGAACGGTTGGGTTCAGAAGGAACAAGCTATTCCTCTTTACAAAGACAATCAAGTGATGTTAGTGATTCAAAGTTGAGTTCTACTGCTGATACTGAATCAGTGAGTTCTGCAGCGGATATGGATGATAGGAAGTTCAGCGAGCAAGACTTTACTAAAGAAGCAGAAGTGATCGCCAACATTTACCATGCTTATGATCTGGTTGGCCATGGAAGTCAATCCTCTGAAGATGTAGATTCTCTAGAAATGGAACGCGCTGGAAAAAGGGAAGCTCAACATGATGAGCTAGAAATAAAATTGGGCAAAGTGGAAAATCTGGAACCGAGCTTGTCTGGTACAGGAGGGTCTAATCCTGTGGTAATAACGAATGACGTTCGGTCGAAACCACGACCATTTAAAGGGGACAACAGCAGTAGGTCAAGCTTGTCATCAGTGTCAGAAATTGATGAAAGATTTTCAGATGTTAGGAAAGGTGGAACAACAAGTTTGGAGCCAAGAGGTGATCATGCTGCGGAGTTTGGGATTTCACCACAACCTCCACTTGAAGAGTCAGAAAGCCAATTTATGAGTGGGATGCTGGATGAAAATCAACATAAGGAGCCAATCTATGATTCAAGCCCTCCAGAATCTGAGAAGATCCTTTCCTTTGATTCCATTTCTTCTGATATGCAAGCTGAGATATCTACACTGGTTCCACTTCCGGCACCAGCTGGAATGCGTGATCCGTCTGTAGAGCAGGATTCTGATTTGCATGGTGAGAGCAAAGAGAAGGGTCCTTCTGAGGCAGATGTCAATCTCCCAAAGAATTTGGATGTGAAGGCAGCTTCTTCAAATTCTAGTTATCAAAACGTTCCTTCCAAAGAAAAGCAACCAACAGAACAGGAAAAAGATGTGTCCTGGTCAGATAAACCACGGTTTGATGATCTTAGTGCACTCCATGTAAGTTATGCAGTCATTATCTGTTACATTATTTCAAACATATTTCCTCAATCAAAGTAGGTTTGTACTTCTTTTGTACTTTGTGAATTTTCTACAGCACTGGCATAATTAAGTTGGGTGGCCCTCCTTTCTTATGAGTTCCCCGGACAATCCAAATTTTTTCCATGACATCAAACTTCCCTGTTCTTTTTCTGCCATTAAAGCAAAAGTTCTATAGAAAGGGTACATATACCAAATAATTGTCCATGAGTGCAATGTCAAGCTGTTGAGACTGATTCTATTTTATTTGTTGGATGATGCGCCTGTCAAAGTGATTTACTTCATGTGTGGCCTACGTAATGCACGCCAAATAAGAGGTTCTGGATTTATGCCTGTCTAACTAGAGTTATGTTTTAATTAATTCCATGGTCTTAAATTTTATTGCAAACTTGTGTTTTAAGACTTTTAATTTTGTTGCATTCGTAGTGCAAATATATTTTTCTGGATATCTTTGTGTCTCTGCATAAATGTATTCTTTGACCTTCTCGGTATGATCTTCTCTCTTTTATCTTGTACCAGTCAAACCAATTTTGCTGGTTAGATTAAACCATTTAGTTAGGGACTATGGACATCCATTTGAAGTCACAATGGTACTTTTTTTGTGTATGTTTATATAGGAAATTATATAAGATTTTAATCACGGCTTCTTCAAAATTTTAGGAACCGGCTATCATCTTGCCAGAGCCCAAAAAGGATTCAAGCACCATTCAGGATGTGAATGTACTGGAAGTCCGTGAAGATCAGGACATGAATTCTAAACCCATCTCAAGCAAGGAGATTGCATCAAGCACTATTGAATCTGGTTTTCAGAAACCTACCACTACTCATACTGCTTTGAAGCAAGTCTCAGAAGGTAATGTTGGCGAGCTTCCAAAACCATCAGATTCAAAGGATGGTTCAAAAAAATTAGAAACTAATGCAGCGGGTACTACAAAAGAGATTGCATCGAGCAATACTGGATCTAGTGCTCAAGAAACTACCCCTACTCAATCTGCTCTGAAGGAAGTCTCTGAACGTAATGTTAGTGAGCTGCCAAAGCAATCAAATTCAAAGGATGGATCAGAAAAAGTGGAAACTATTGCAGTAGGTTCCAAAAACGAGGCTGCGTCAAATATTACAGGGTCTGGTGTTCAAGAAGCTATCACTAGTGATATTGCATTGAAGCAAGTCTCAGAAGGTGATGTTGGTGAACTGCCAAAGTCATCAGATTCAAAGAATGGATCAGCAAAAGTAGAAACTAATGCAGTGGAATCTAAGAAGCAGATTTCATCAAGCAATACAGGATCTGGTACTCCAGAAACTATCACCATTGATCCTACTGTGAAGAAAGTTTCAGAAGGTAATGTGGGTGAGCTGCCAAAACCATCAAACTCAAAGTATGGATTTGCAGAAGTAGGAACTAATGCAGTGGGTTGTACCAAGGAGATTGCATCAAGAAGTATAGGATCAGATGTTCAGGAAACCATCAGCACTCATACTTCTTTGAAACAAGTCTCAGAAGGTAATCTTGGTGAGGTACCAAAACAATCAGATTCAGAAGATGGATTGACAAAAATAGAAACTAATGCTGTGGGTTCTACCAAGGAGGTTGCATCAAGCAATCCAGGATCTGGTGTTCAAGGAACTATCACTACGCATACAGCTTTGAAGCAAGTCTCAGAAAGAAATGCTGCTGAGCTACCAAAACCATCAGATTCAAAAGATGAATCAACAAAAACAGAAACTAATGTTGTGGGTTCCACCAAGGGGGTTGCATCACGCAATGCAGAATCTGGAGTTCAAGAAACTATCACTACTCATTCGGGTTTGAAGCAAGTTTCAGAAAGTAATGCTGGTGGGCTGTCAAAACCAGCAAATTCAAAGGATGAATCCGAAAAGGTAGGAACTAATGCAGTGTATCCTACCAAGGAAATTGCATCAACCATTACAGGATATAGTGTTCATCAATCTGTCACTACTGATCCTGCTTTGAAACAAGTCTCAGAAGGCAATGTTGGTGAGCTACCAAAACCATCCGATTCAAAAGATGGATCGACAAAAATAGAAACTAATGCTGTGGGTTCCACTAATGGGGTTGCATCAAGCAATGCAGAATCTGGAGTTCAAAAAACTATCACTACTCATTCTGGTTCGAAGCAAGTCTCAGAAACAAATGTTGGTGAGTTGCCAACACCATCGAATTCAAAGGATGGATCTGAAAAAATAGGACCTAATGCAGTGAGTTCTACCAAGGAGATTGCATCAAACAATACAGGATCCAGTGCTGATGAAACCATCACTGCTCATACTGCTTTGAAACAAGTCTCAGAAGGTAATGTTGGTGGGCTACCAAAACCATCAGATTCAAAGGATGGACAGACAAAAGCAGGAACTAGCGCAGTAGGTTCTACCAAGGATGTTACATCAAGCAATGCAGGATCTGGTGTTCAAGAAACTAGCACTATTGATACAGCTTTGAAGCAAGTCTCAGATGGTAATGTTAATGAGCTGCCAAAACCATCAAACTCAAAAGATGGATCTGAAAATCTAGTAACTAGTGCAGCGGGTTCTTCCAAGGAGATTTCATCAGACAATGTAGGATCTGGTGTTCAAGATACTGTCACTACTCAAACTGCTTTGAAACAAGTCTCAGAAAGTAATCTTGGTGAGCTACCAAAACCGCCAGATTCAAAAGATAGATTGGCAAAAGTAGGAACCAGTGAAGTGGATTCTACCAATGAGGTTGCATCAAGCAGTGCAGGATCTGGTGTTCAGGATACTATAACTACTCATACTTCTTCGAAACAAGTCTCAGAAGGTGATCTTTGTGAGCTACCAAAACTGTCAGATCAAAAAGTTGGATCAGCCAAAGTAGGAACTACTGCAGGGGGTTCTACCAAGGACATTGCATTAAGCAATGCAGGTTCGGGTGTTAATGAAACTTTCACTACTGATACGGCTTTGAAGCCAGTCTCAGAAGGTAATGTTAGTGAGCTGCCAAAACCATCAAACTCAAAGGATGGGTCTGAAAAACTAGGAACTAGTGCCGTGGATTCTACCAAGGCCATTGCATCAATCAATCCAGGATCTAGTGTTCATGAAGCTATCACTACTGATACTGCCTTGAAACAAGTCTCAAAAGGCAATGTTGGTGGTGAGCTATCAAATTCAAAACCACCAGATTCAGAGGATGAATCGACAAAAGTTGGAAGCAATGCAGTGGGTTCTACAAAGGAGGTTGCTTCAACCAATGCAGGATCTGGTGTTCGAGAAACTATCTCTACTCATACGGATTTGAAGCAAGTCCCGGAAGGCAATCTCCACGAGGTACCAAAACCATCAATTTCAAAGGATGAATTGACAAAAGTAGGGACTAATGCAGTGGGTTCTAGCAACGAGATTGCATTAAGAAATACAGAATCTGGTGTTCAAGAAACTATCACTACTCATACTGCTTTGAACCAAGTCTCAGAAAGTAATGTGAGTGAGCTTCCAAAACCATCAAGTTCAAAGGATGCATCTGCTGAAACAGTTGGGACTAATGCATTGGGTTCTACCAAGGACATTGCATCAAGCAATACAGAATCTGGTGTTCCTGAAAATATCACTAGTACTGCTTTGAAACAAGACTCAATGGTAATGTTGGTGAGATACCAAAACCATCAGATTCAAAGGATGGATCAACAAAAGTAGGAACCAGTGCAGTGGGCTCTACCATGGAGACTGCATCAAACAATACAGGATCTGGTGCTCAAAAAACTGTCACTACTGATGCTGCTTTGAAGCAAGTGTCAGAAGGTAATGTTAGCGAGGTGCCAAAAGTCCCAAACTCAAATTTAAATGATGGATCAACAGAAGTAGGAACTAGTGCTGCAGGTTCAACCAAGGAGATTGGATCAAGCAATACAAAATCTGGTGTTCCAGATACTATGACTAATGTTGGTGAGCTGGCAAAACCATCGGATTTGAAGGATGGATCGACAAAAGTAGGAACTAATGTAGTGGGTTCTACCAAGGACATTGCATCAAGCAATACAGAATCTGGTGTTCAAGATACTATCACTACTCATACTACTTTTGAGGAAGTCTCAGACGATAACGCCGGTAAGCTGCCAAAACCATCAGATTCAAAGGGTGGATCTACAAAAGAAGGAACCAATGCAATGGGTTCTACCAAGGAGATTGCATAAGCAATGTCTCCACTGATACTGCTTTGAAGCAAGTCTCAGATGGTATTGAGTTGCCAAAACCCTCAAATGTAAAGGATGAATCCATAAAAGTGGGAACTAATGCAGTGAGCTCTACGAAGGAAACGAATTAAACTTAGCCGTCTCCAATTTCCAAATTTTGTAAACAAATTTCACTTTGAAAACACAGAAGCATTATATGCTAAAAATCATTTCATTTCTCTCAGAATATACGGATGAATTTGATGTAAATAGCACTACAAGTCCATTGTCTTCATTCATCATAGATTCGGAAGATACTGGTTTGGTTAAGCAATTCAAAGTTATCAAATTGCTTCAAGTTATTTTTGTTGTCTAGACAAATTGTAGTGTAAATAAGCCCTATGGGCTAAGTCTTCTTTGTACCAGCTCAAACAGCAGACTTTTTTATTTTGGGGTGAATGAGGAGAGAAACTCTGGGATATCATTTTTTGCTATTCCCAGTTAATAATGCAATGACATGCAAGATAACTTTTTCACATATTATTGGCCGGATATAGCAAAATATTGGCCGGATATAGCAAAATAGTACTATCTCTGTTACATATAAGTTTTTTTGGTAAATGAGAGATAGATAAACAATAACTAAGCATGGGTTCTGATTGTAACTTATAACGGAAGGTTAATGAGAGCCGTTAGATGATAATGATGAAAAACAAAGTGATCAGTTTTGTCAGAGAAAGATGTAGACTGGAAGAAGTAGTGGAGCGACTGTGAGTCTCATGGGAAACATTCGGCCTGAGTTGAATCGGCGACTAATCAGAGAGTAGAGAGTAGGAGAGTGGAGAGTGTAGAGACAGAAGGCAACCAAAAAGGACAATCACCAAATCCATGCATTTAATACGTAATCATCATGATTCATCACTGAGATCTTTCTTTCTCTTTCTCCTGCTACCTCTTGCTTGCCCCCAGAAATTTAGTGTTTTCCTCCCCCACGCGCTCCTTATGTGGGCTCTACACCTTCTCCATGAGTTATTTGTTTGGGAAATTCTCTGAAATGTAAATATTATTGTAACAAAGTTATCAAATATCGTCATTATTACAACAAATGTCGGTTTGTCACTTAGGTAAGGTATAGTGTGTCGGTTTAGCACTATAACTATAAATAAATTCTACATCATTTTAATTTTATATCAAACCAAAAAAAAAAAAAAAAAAAAAAAAAAAAAAAAAAAAATAGATGGCCATATTGAATTTAATTTTAATTATTAAATTACTTTGATGCCCTATTAAGTGTTTTAGGCTTTTTAATGAGATTTTGGGGTTGAGTTTGTTTTAAGAAATCAATGGCAGTTTTGTAATTTAAAAGAAGTTAAAAACCTTTTTTGTTATGTTGTAAATGAGTTTAGGGTGTGTTTCTAAAGTCTATTTCATATATGATTTTTTTATAATTTGGGCTCATATATTGGGTATAATAGTGAATCTCCCTTAATATTATACGTAATATGATAAATTGACCATGTTAATAATATCAACATAATATTGATACTTCATTTATATTATATCGAGACTTACGAGACTATTTGCTATCAAAGACATTATCAACAATCAGGGTTGTAAATGAGCCAAGTCTAACACCAAGGTTCTTAATCTCAGCTCAGATAAAACTACGGGTACAAAATTCAATCACAATACAATGTCCATATTGAATCACAATACAACGTCCATCTTATAATCGTTGTGAGGAAGATTGAATCCAAAGCATCTACATGCTCCACTACTTCATAATATAAAGAAATGAAAGAAACATGGAAAGTTTAGAGTAATTTAGAATATTACTTTATAAATAAATAAAAAACGAGAGAAGAAAATTCATTATCGAGTTCAAAATTATTATCAAGGACTAACATGTGATGACGTTTACAAAATACAAATTAATTCCGTTAAATGAAGTTAGAAAAAAAAAAAATCCAGGATTAAAAAAATGAACATTAATATTTTTTTTTCTTCTCAATGCATTAATGTCAAGTATCACTCATTTGTAGTGTAAACATATGCATAGAAAGTAAAAATAGAAAGTTTGAATTCTTAAATTTAAACCAATCTTAAATTTCAACGAAGAGGAATAATACTACTAGATAAAGAGCTAATCACTTATTATTATTATTATTATTATTAGTCAAAGTGAATTATATTATTTAGAGCAAATGATGCAAAATACATAAGAGCACTTCCAATATTCGTCCTCAACTTGGGTAACAGGGGGCCCAAGCCCCCATTTGACGTGAGTGGGCTTCTACAGCCCTGGCAGCTTGTGGGTCCTAGCAAACCGGGCTAGCCCAAAGGCAAGAATAACCTGGGCTGTTGCCTAGGTTTGTTGATATCAGCAATGAAAACAATTATTAAAAAAAAAAACTAAAAACTAAAAATTTAAGATTTAAGATTTTTTATTATTATAAATACTTAGTCATATTCTTCATTTTCCACACCAAAACTCTATACAAATTTCTGTCCTCACATCTCATGTGAATAGTGGTTGTCACGGCAATGGGTGAAAACATCACAAGCCTTTTGCAAGGGTTGTCACAATTCACGTGAATAGTAACAGCCATTGCCTTCCCTTGCCTTTTTCCATGGCAAATGGGTGGAAGTGCTCTAAGGTTAGACATAGGCCAAGCATGTCAGGCTAACCACTCTATATATAACGATATGATCGTCGGTCCTTTCAAAGATTAAGTAAGCAATAAGACTTGCAAGGAACTTGTAGATGTCCTGTGTTCGAATCTTGTTTTGCCAATGCCGTTTGTATCAAATAAAAAAAATAATAGGTTGTGATCTTAACCAAGGACTAAAATATTGATAATATTGACAAAATATTGCTGATATTATCATTTTTTTTTCCTTTCAAGTCTAGGATATTTTGGAACATATCCATACACATATTGTATAATTATCGATAATATCGGGAAATATTGACGTCGATAATTTCTCACACGCTTCAACAACATTTGGCCAAATATCGTGATAATATCGATAATATTGAGATGATGAAGACAATGAAAAATTTGAACATCATAAGAACTCTATGCAGTAATAAGTCACTTATGTATCTTACCATACAATGTATAAAGTGTAAAATATTATAGTAAATCATTATAAATAAATGATTATTGTATGTTTAATATTCTTTCATTAATTACTACATATTTTCTACACTCTCGGTGTTGGTCAATTCGCTATATAATCAACTTAAATAAGTTAAACCCATCATACAATGCATTTCTTTCCAATTTGTTGTGATAAACTAATAGATAATTGACTAAATAAACATCCTCCAAAGTTTCAATAAAAATTTCCATGGTTTGTATTCAGTGTTTACCGATATTAATAATTTCATGATATTTCTATAGAAATTTCCATGTTTTAGATCTTGATTGACACTTCAAATTAAATGTTTAATATTAATAAAAAACTGCTAAAAGTTAAATTTGAAGTGTCAAAATCGCTCACTTAAGTAATTAGTTAGTTAAAACATTATTACTTGCCAAAATAAAAAATCCAAATTTGATTTATGACTTGAAACGCAATTAACACAATGATGAAAAGAATCGAAGTTTTTGTATACACAGATCCTAGACTCAAACTCATTAAAAAGAAAAGACAACAAAAACCATAACCCCAGAAACAGGCATCACCTATAGTTCTGTCTTACTGCGCGTGAGAGTAGTAGAAAACTAGAAGTAACCCAAGAAAAAAAGGGACAAGACTCACTTCACATCAGCAAAAAGGCAAGTTTTTGAGTCTTTTTCCCTTTCCAGTGTACTTCTCATCTCTCAGCCTTTTTAGCCAAAAAACCTCTTTAAATCTCTCTGTCTGTCTGTCTGTTTCCCAAAGTTTCCAAACCCTCTTTTCTTTCTTCCATGGCTGTTCAAATCACAGGAGGGTTTCAGGGTTTGAACCCATATGCCCCCGAGTTCTTCCCTAACCAAAACCTACTCTCACTCTCTGGTTCAATAATCCCCTCCTACTTTTACCCCCCACCGCCTCTGGTAAACCCTAACCAATATTCCTCCTTCTACTTCTCTTACCTTCATCAAACAAACACCACCACCTTTGATACTAACTTTACCCCCTCCGATACTAATCACTCTTTCAACCCACTTTTCCCTACCCAAATTACCCAACAAGCCCCTCTCAACTTTCTGCAACCATCAGCCGAGCCAACTCTTACCCTACCTCATGAAGAGCATGGCCTCCGTGGGGTCCAGAACCAAGAGGCCAAGACAGTGCCTCGGCCTCCAAGGCCAAGGGCGGCCAAGGGGTATTATAGGAATAAAAAGCGGTGCTCTTTTGGTCATGGAGGTCTAGGGAGCAGTTTTAACGAAAGCAGAAGGGGTACTTATTGTAAGTGTGAGAAAGAAAGGGAAGTGAGGCCAAGGTTGGGGTTTGTCAATAGTTATGATAAAGGTTTTGATAATTGGAAAAGTAATGGCATGGGAAATAATTGGCTTGTGCCCAACAAGGTGAGGAGCAAACAATTCTCGGATGTGTTGCCTGTGGTACGTGGTGGAGACAATACCACTGTTATGATCAGGAACATTCCCAACAAGTACAAGTACGCTCTAGGCTCTTTGCATTGATTTTGATCTTTCTTTACAGTTTACATGCATGCTTTTGGTCTTCATCATCTGGGTTTTTTTTTCTTTTTTTTCTTTTCAAGTTTTCAGTTTGGTTTCCAAGCTTTTTCATTCTGGATTTTGAGATTTTCATCTGGTTGGTGCATGTGGGTTTTGAAATTCAGTTTGGTCAATTGGTTTGTGTGTTTTGCATGGGGTTGGTGGATTGTCTAAATCTCAATTTTGATTGGGAATTTAGTTGTTGAGGTAACCCAGTTAGTGCATTTGGATTTCTAAAATTGTGGCTCATTTGATTTTATGATCTGAATTCATCAAATGGGCACTTTCTGATCCTCATGGTTTCTCCCTGACTTTTCTGCTTTTGGGTTCTTTGAATATCAAAGTCGT